CCTAGGACAAACGTTGATTGTACGAATAATTTGCCTTTGCATCCTCAAATCCAGTTTAGGTGGGCGACCAGGGCGAGGTTTATTTTCATAGCTACCTGTCTCATTGAAATTATTAACTATCACCTGAACTGTTGCTTTCGAYAAATTTGTAATTTTTCCAATTTCTCCAAGGAATTTTCCTTCGCTTTTGAGTTTTATTACGACTTTTCGTAGATCTGACGATGTTTCTTTTCTTTTTAACATTTTGCAACTATATATAAACTAAAGATAATGTTTTCACGGCCGCAATTACAAAAGAACTAACCACGCAAACCCTAAAAAATTCATAAACAAAAAACAAAATCAATTTCATAACGGTAAATCAAATATCAGTAAAGCGTATGTACACTTTTGTGAGATTTCATTATATGGGATTCCCCTTTTTCATTCGGTTTTTATGCAGTGCCGATAGGAAATTGGTAGTTTCGTGTTGTAGTTGGTGGTACAAGGCCAACAAAAATAAAATGCATTTAAAAAATTATCGAATTTGTGTTATTACATTAGATAATCGCAAAACTGTTATCGTATGTTGAGTTTTGTGGTTAAGTGTAAAATTCATATGTTTATTTGAGATTGTGTTAATATTGTGAATAAAACATATTCAGATTCCTAATATATGTAATTTAATTACTTAAAAAATGTATTTATTTAGCTTTTTATTGTAATATAGTATAATTTTTTAATATATTAATGCAGCTGAATACGTATACATATGTATGTATAAATATTTATATCAGAAACTATTATATTCGACTAAATAAAATTAAGAAAATGATGATCGTAAACATGTACATATGTATGTATATTGATAAGAAAAAATTAAAAAAATGAATTTCGAAAATAAATTAAAAATTATTAAAAATGAAAAAAATCGCACATGGTTCCATCCAGGGTCGAACTGGAGACCTTCTGCGTGTAAAGCAGACGTGATAACCGCTACACTATGGAACCAGTTAAAATTCATTTGGCAAAGTTTTGATATAAGCGTAAGACAAACATTAAATGTATAAGATTGAAATGAAAATGGGGTAGAACACAAAGAGAACAGTTAATGTAAAGTACCTTGGAATATTATGCATTTACAGTTGCATTTGACCACATGTTAAGAAAGCTCATCTGGCGAACACAAAATATTCAATTTCACATAAAATAGTTGCATATTTGATATAACATATTAAAGAAGCTAATAATTAAATGATATTAGTAAATTTACATAAGTACATAAGTATATCATGTCAAGTAGTATAAATATTGTTAGGCTTTTCACAGAGTCTCATAAAGTTACATACATATAAGTTATAACGAACCGAAAACATGGCGTTAAGAATTGTAATTGAGTAAATTTTTGTATTCAATCCAACAACAATTTTTTTAATTGTAAAAATTTATGATTTTTTTTTTTTTTATTTTACGATACGTTAGGACAAGTTGTGAGTACACTAAGTATATTTTAATTTGTTTACCC